GGGGAGGGATTCTGTGAAGAATGTCAAGGGTCTGGGGGAGAGGGAGACAGAAGTCTCAAAGTCCCACATGACCTCTGTCCACAGGGCCTTTCAGGGAACACCATGCTAGGAGTGGGCCATGTGGTCACCACCAGCATCGGCATGTGCGACATTGACATTCGCCCGGTGAGACCAGAGCCTGAGGCTTGGTAAAGGGGCCAAGGACTAGCAGGGAGGAAGGGAAGGGTTCTACTCTGGAGACTCACCCCTTGCCCTGCTCCCAGGGTCTCTATGGCAGTGTCATTGTCACTGGTGGGAACACCCTGCTTCAGGGCTTCACAGACAGGCTTAACCGGGAACTTTCCCAGAAGACCCCACCGGTGAGAGTCTAGGGTCTTGGATTCCAGTCCTGGATTAGCCTTCTGGGCCAAGTTCTTCTTGCTTCCCAAGCATGGATATGTTTAGACTGCCTGCCTCTGTGGCATCCTCTTGTCTCCCAAGCCCTGTCCCTTCCCATAATCAATTTTATTTATGTGTATGAATGTTTGCATGTGTATAAGTGCAGCATGTGCATGCAATGCCAAGTCAGATTCCCTGGAGTTACAGATTGTTGTTAGCCACCATGTTGGTGCTGGGAACCAAACCCAGGTCCTCTGCAAAAGTAGCCAGTGCTCTTAACTGCTGAGCCATCTCTCCAGTTCACCCCCTTCCTAGAATCTAGATGTAAGCTTCTCTCAGCCCCTTTCTCTCCCCCAGAGCATGCGCCTGAAGCTCATCGCCAGCAACAGCACCATGGAACGCAAGTTTAGCCCCTGGATCGGGGGCTCCATCTTGGCCTCACTGGTGAGAGGGCAGGGGCATGGCCTAACACTGAGTGCACAGTAGAGAAGCCCAAACAGCTCCTCATTCAGTTATTCAACAAACATGTACCCAGTCTTGAGGGAGGGGGGCGGGAGTGGAAATCCAGCACTAGGGAGACTGAGGCAGGAGGATCTCAAGTTCAAGGCTAACCTGGACTACATTTCAAGACTGTGTCTCAAAAAATGAGTGTGTGTGTTTGTGTATATATGTATATATGTATGCATGCTAGTGCACGTGCAGGTGCCTGTATGTATGTGTGTGTGTGTAAGCCAAGGACAACCTTGGCTGTCTTTCCTCAAGTGCTTTCCATCTCTGTTTTTTGTTTTTGTTTTTGTTTTAAGACAGGGTCTCCCTGTAGCCTCAGCTGGCCTGGAACTCACCATACAGATCAGGCTGGTCTTGATCTCACAGAGATCCACCTGCCTCTGCGTCCCAAGTGCTGGGATTAAAGTTGTGTATCATCATGCCTACCCTATCCACTTGCTTGTTTTGAGATGGGGGTCCCTCATTGTTCTGGAGGTTTCTGATTCAACCAGGCTGACTACCCAGTGAACACCAGGGATCCTCCTGTCTCTGCTTCCCTGATACTGGAATTACAGTAGAGGGTTTTTTTTTTGTATTTGTTTTTGTTTTTTTGAGACAGGGTCTCCCTGTAGCCCCAGCTGGCCTGGAACTCACTTTGTAGACCAGGCTGGCCTTTGAACTCACAGAGATCTGCCTGCCTCTTCCTCCCAAGTGCTGGGACTACAGGCGTGCGCCACCATGACTGGCTACAGCAGAGGTTTTAAAACATGGATTCTGGAGGTTGAACTCGGGCCTTATGATTACAAGGCAAGCACTTTACTGAGCCATCTCCCCTGCCCTAAAAAAAAAAAAAAAAAAAGAGTGCTCCCTGAAGACTGAGTGCTCCCTCAGAGAACAGAATGCTGGAGAGGTTGGTCAGGATGAGGTTTGAGTGAGGCACCAGTGGTCCTCAGAGAGATAAAGGGACACCCTGGAATTTTGGGTAAGGGAGTGGTATAGTGATGACAAGCATGTCTGGGATCATTGGTGTGAACTTGGATCAAGGGAATCTTGCAGAGTAGGCTAGGCTGGCTGGCCAGTGAGCCCCAGGGATGTGTCTGTCTCCACTTCCCTAGTACTAGGATTAAACATGCTGCCATGCTTGTTTATGTGGGTTCACATAGAATAGAGTTTATGTTCTCAGGTACATAAAGAGTTCAAGGCCAGCCTGTGCTACCGTAGAGCTTATCAAAAAAAAGGGGTGGGGGCAGGGGGCGGAAGGGGAAAGGGAAAGAGCAAAGAAAGGAGTGGGACGGGAGAAGAAAGGGGTAAAGAGAAGGGAAGGGGCGGGAAAGAGAGGAGGGGAGGAAAGGGGGCGGGAGAAAAGGGGAAGGAAGGAGAGGGGAGGGAAAGGAAGGGGAGGGAAGAGAAGGGAAGTGAGAGAAGAAAGGAGAAGGAAAGGAAGGGACCAAAGGAGAAAGAGGTTTGGGTAAAGATGGCGATTTCAGTTATGAGCAGGTTAAGGTCGTGGGTACTGAAGCGAAGATACAGCTGGGTATTTGGATCTAGAGCAAGAGACTAGGGAATGACAGGATGAGGTCACCAAAGAAGTCTGCTTTATGAGCTGAAAAGAGACATCAATCTTCAGGTGAAGGCTAAGTAGCCAGTAATGAGAAAGGACAGTATGAGATGCCCAGGGCAGGACTCCTCAAGACCAGCAGGGTTGGGTGGCAGTGAGGTGCCAGGTGGTGTCAGAATGGTGATCCAAGAGCCAGCTGTAATTCCAGTCACTCAGGAAGCTGAAGCAGGAAGATCACAAGTTCAAGGTCAGCCTTGGCAACTTAGTGCAACCCTTTATAAAAATAATAAGTAAATAAATATATGGGCTAGGAAGATGGCTCAATAGGTAAAGCACTTATATGAAGAGTTTGGATCCATAGAACCCACAAAAGCCAGTGCAATAGCACACATCTGAAATCCCAGCGCTCCTGTGGAGAGCCGGTAGGAGGAGACAGGAGAATTCCAGAAGTTCATTGCCACCACCTCTCCTGGCTACAGAGCAGCAAATAAGAGGCTCTACCTCAAACAAGGTGGAGAGGCCAGGACTGACACCCAAGGTTGTCCTTTGACCACACATTCCTGTAGGAGTGCTTGCGTGCGTTGTACACACACACACACACACACACACACACACACACACACAGATTTTTAAAAAGTAAATAGAGGGGGCTGGAGAGATGGCTCAGTGGTTAAGAGCACTGGCTGTTCTTGCAGAAGACCCGGGTTCAAATCCCAGCACCTACATAGTGGCTAACAACTGTTCATAACTCCAGTTCCAGGGATCCGATGCCCTCTTCTTACCTCCACAGGCATTGCATGACACGGGTGCACTTACATGCAGGCAATACACTCATACACATAAAATAAAAATAATAAGTAAAATGTTTTAAATAAAAAATGTAAATAGAAGGCTAGGTATGTTGATCAGTGGTGGAGTATCTGCCTAGAATCTCCCAGTGAGGGGCTGGGGGAAGCAGCTCAGTGATTCAGCACCTGCCTAGAATCCCTCAATGAGGAGTAGGAATATGGGAGAGAGATAGAGGAGACCAGGAGGAAGGAAGCCTTCCACAGGTGAGGAGGGGTGTGGGGTGACCTCAGGGCCATTTTGTCAGCCAATGTTGCCCTTCTTCCTAGGGCACGTTCCAGCAAATGTGGATCTCCAAGCAGGAATATGAGGAGGGCGGGAAGCAGTGTGTGGAGCGGAAGTGCCCCTGAGGGCAACCTCTCTGCAGACATCCACCCACTTGCCCCATTGCCCCTGGGGAGAAGAAGACAGCAGGGGGAGGGGGGGTCTTGCCCCAGCCAGGCCTCCAAGAGTGCAGATTGAAGCTTCCTGAACCCTCCAACCGCCATTGCCCTCTCCTCTTTTCCCTTCATTCCCTTAGATTGTGATGTTTCTGAGTTGAAAAAATTAAAAAAAAAAGTTTTAAGAAAATAAAATGAGTTTGACCTCCTTGGGGTGGAGAGTACACACAGGGATCTGATGGGAGGCCAGAGAAGAGTCACACTTATATTCATGCTAGATCCACAGTGGGAGCTGGGTCACATCCCAGAAGCCATGAATTTCTTGTTTCAGTGGGGTCACTACTCTGGAAGGAGCACAAGGCAGAGATGGGGTGGGGCGTGGGTGGCTGAGGAGGGGGGTGAGGAGGGCGTGGCCCTCCACTGGGGGTGACCTAGTGGGCCCTCGGGCTTTGGGTCTTCTGGGAGCATTGCCCAAACAATCCAGGCCCCCATTGCTCAGGTGAGTTTGGCTGTTGTGTCTCTTCCTACCCAAGAATTGGCTTTGACAGCCATGAGACAAGGACTGGGGTACTAATGCTCACCCACCTTGAGATCTTTCTGGATCTAGGGAGGAGCTGAAGTTTCCCAGGGGAGACCCCCAACAGGAGGGGGAGACAGTGAGGAGGGGTGGACCTGAGCTTTCCTGTTCTGAGAGCCTGGTTGTGGCATCCTCCGCTGGGTTTGGACTGGAAACTGGTCTATGAAGAAAAGTTTATGGCATTTCATCAAACTCTTAAAGGCTGCCAGACCCAAAAGACATAGAAACCATCCCATTAAGTCCTTTGGTGACCCAGGAGGCACCAATGCCATGAAGGACCATAGCTTGGCCACTCCTTGGCCAGGACGTTTTTTGCCTACCCCGATTGTGGGGTGGGCCCTGACCCAGTTTTCTGACCTCAGGATACATCCACGACTTCCTTTTGATTCTTCTACCTTCCTGTATCCCTCCCTCCCTCAAAGCCAGCACAAGTCAGATTTCAGAGAACCTTATGAGCAGACCTAACCCCGAGGTCACCCCATTGGGGTGCCTCCAGCTTATAATGTACCTGGGACAGGGGTCTGAGAAGACAGATCAGCTAACTAGTTATTGGAAGGCCTGTGAGTTAGGGGAATCTGAAAGTCAGATGTGGAGAGGGCAAAAATCTTCATGGTGAAGCTTGGAAGGAATTTGGGAGATATCCCAGGGACATTGAGAGGGGTGCAGTCCAGGGAGGAGAGGGACCTACCCACTTCCCCCTGGCTTTCAGCCTCCCTCCCCCAGCTCTGACGGGAACTGAGAAGGCCAAAGTCTGCTCAGAGGTTTAAAAAAAAATTGATTTTTCTGCTGTAAACCATCAGGAGTGGGGCTTCTGGAAAGATTGGCAGGAGAAGGTATAACATGGGCTGGGGGATGAGGGGCTGTCTGGAAGGCTTGAACTGAGGCCAGACTATGACCCCCACCTTTGTCTATGTGGGTGAGAAATGGCCTAGGCTCAGGCTGCCTGACAGGGCTGATAAGGGGCCCTCTGGGGCTGCCACAAACGGTTTATGACTGGGGTGGGGAACTGCCTGCAGGGTTCAGGAGGGGGTACAAGCATGGAGCGACTTTGGGGCATACTCCAGAGAGCGGTAAGACCAGTGGGATTAAGGGGGGCATCATCTTGGGTCTTCCTTCCCCAGTCCCTAAGCCCCTTCCCAAAGCCATCAGGTTGGTCCGGTCCCTTCCCCCGGGGTCTTTCCTCTCCAGCCTCCCTCTTAGACCACTGTTCCTGCCTAAGTCACTGACACCTATCTGGCCAGATCCTTCCCCACCCTCCAGGCCTCTTCTCCCAATCTCGTGCCTACTTTGACTCCCACAGCAACAGTGGTCCCCAACACCTGTTGAGACTATCTACAAGCGTGTGGAAGGCCCCTATCTGGGGGGCCTGGAAGAAGAGGAGGAGGGGGCTGAGTTGCCCCTCCAGTTCTCCCCCATGGAATTCAAGAGCCCCGAGCTCCAGGGTCCCCGGAGTTCAGCCCTCATCCCCTGGGCTGCAGCAGCACGCAAGGCTGCCCCCTACCTGGTCTTGACTGCCCTTCTAATCTTCACTGGGGGTGAGAGTCCTTCCCCGACTCCTACTCCCCAATGAAGGGCTTGGGCTGGGGGAGATTTCTGGGATGCAGAAAGAGATGGTACAAGGGAATCCTCATCTTGCCAGCCTTCCTCCTGGGCTATGTGGCCTTTCGAGGTTCCTGCCAGGCCTGCGGGGACTCCGTGTTGGTTGTCAGTGAGGACTTCAACTCTGAGCTTGGCCTGGACTCTCACCAGGGCACGTTGTACTGGAGCGACCTCCAGGCCATGTTCCTGCGGTTCCTGGGGGAGGGGCACTTAGAGGACACCATCAGGTAAGAGCAGCCTGACCCTCGCCTGGCCGTGTCCACTCATTAGCACAGACTGGAGTCCCTATTAATAGCTCATGGGGCCTGAGTCTCTTTCTGGGTTTTTCTACCTGTATGTCTAGCCTCTCTTGGTCAGTAGTGCTTGGAAGGATGATAGATGTCTGGAGTGGAGAATCCAGGGGCCTGGGGCATTGAGGAATGGATTATTTGGCAGATGGGCAGATGATTGAATAAAGACTGAGGGACCAGGGCCTAGTGGTGCTTACCTGTAATACCAACACTTGGGAGGGAGAGGAAGGATCAGAAATTCAGTCATCCTTGACTACATAGCTAGTTTGAGGCCCAGTCTGGAATACATGAGACTATCTACCATCTATCTATCATCTCTCTCTCTCTCTCTCTCTCTCTCTCTCTCTCTCTCTCTCTCTCTCTATCATCTAACTATCTATGCATATATCTATCTAACTATCTATCTATGCATCATTGGGCATGGTGGCCTACACCTTTAATCCCAGAACTCTGGAGGCAGAGGCAGGCAGATCTCTGTGAAATCCAGGCCAGCCTGGTCTACATAGAAAGTTCCAGATCAGCTGGGGCTACAGGGAGACCCTGTCTGAAAAAATAAAACATCCCATGCTGTCTTCTGGCCTTCATGAGCACTATGTGCACATGATGCACTTACATACATGCAGTCAAGATACACATACACATAAAATACAAATAAATAATTTTAAAAAAAGAGCTGAAGAAATGGCTCAGAGGTTAAGAGCACTGACTGCTTTTGCAGAGGACCCAAGTCTGATTCCCAGCACCCACATGGCAGCTAACAACCATCTGTAATTCCAGTTCCAGAGGCTCTGATATCTTTTCCTGATCTCTGAGGGCATTGCATGACACAGGTACACTTATCCACATGCAGGAAATACACTCATACACATAAAAATAGTAAGTAAAATATTTAAAACAAGGCTGGGTGTGGTGACCCACACCTTTAATCCCAGCATTCAGGAGGCAGAGGCAGGCACATCTAGTTCAAGGCCAGTCTGGTCTACATAGTAAGTTCCAGGCCAGCTGGGGCTACAGGGAGACCCTGTCTCAAAAAGGCAAAAAACAAAAACCAAAACAAAACAACAAATATATATTGAATGAAGGGGGCTGGAGAGATGGCTCAGCAGTTAAGAGCATTGGCTGTTCTTGCAGAGTTTGGGTGACAGTGGCTTACTGAATGTTGACAATGGAAGCAGACAGGTCCTGTCCTGAAGGTGTTCCTTATAGTTCTGATGGCACTTTAGAAACAGTAGAGGTCTCCAAGGGGAGGCCCTCATACACCGCCCTGGTGGTGGTAGGAGACAAAGTATCTGAGGTAAGTTTTCTCTTAAACTTAGTCCTTCACTGCCCCTACCTGGAGCCACCCCTCTTTTTGACATCTTTTCTACTTCTATTTTAAATTTTATTTATTTTATTTTATATAGACAAGTGTTTTGCCTGCATATGTATAAGTGCACCCATGTGTGCAATGCCCACAGGGGCCAGAGGAGGGCATTGGATCCCCTGGAACTGGAGTTACAGATGGTTGTTAGTCACCATGTTGGTGCTGAGAACTGAACCTGGGTCTTCTGCAAGAGCAGCCAGTGTTCTTAACCACAGAGCCATCTCTCCAGCCCCTTGTTGTTTTTTGAGACAGGGTCTCCCTGTAACTCCAGTTGGCCTGGAACACACTATGCAGACCATGCTGGCCTCAAACTCAAAGATTTATTTGCCTGCTGGGATTAAAGGCAGTGCCTACAGAGACCAGAAAAGGGTGTCAGATCCTCTGGACTAGAGTTATGAACAGTTGTTAGCCCCATGTAGGTGCTGGGATTTGAGCCCAGGTCTTCTGCAAGAACACCAGTGCTCTTAACCACTGAGCCATCTCCAGCCCTGAACTTTTCCTTTAAAAAAAATTTACATTTAGGGGCTGTTGAAAACATTACTGTTTAGAAGGGCATGGTGGCACATGCTTTTAATCCCAGTACTCAGGAGGCAAAGGCAGATGGATCTCTGTGAGATCAAGGCCATCCTGGTCTACATAGTGAGTTCCAGGCTACCTGGGACTACAGGGAGACCCTGCCACAAAAAGACAAAAAAAAAAAAAAAAAAAAAAAAAAAAAAAAAGAATTACTGCTTTTACAGAAGACCCTGGTTCAGTTGCCAGCACTTACACGGTGGCTCACAATTCTTTGAAACTCCAGTTCCAAAGGATCTGATGCCCTCTCTGGTCTCCATGGGCATTGCATGCACAGGTACACTTACATACATACAGGCAAAACACTCATACACATAAATAAAAATAAATATTTTTGATACTACATTTATTTGTGCATGTGTCCGCACACTAGCATATGTCACGGCACATGTGGAGATGGGAGGACAACTTTCAGAAGTTGATTCTCCCCTTTTATGATGTGGATTTTGGAGATGAAACTCAGACTGTCAGGTTTGACATTAGACATCATCTCATCCCCCTCCTTTTTTAAGACTTATAGCCCAGGCTGGCCTCCCACTCATTATGTAGCTGAGGAGGACCTTGAACTCTCAATCCTCCTGCCTCCACCTCCCAAGTCCTGGGATTCCAGGCCTGAGTTACCTTGCTTGCTAGGCTTTCCTCCTTCCCACTTCTGTGGCCATCTAGAAGCCCCCTTCCGGGACCCCAGTATGCTCTCTCTCCACTCAGGCTGACCAGCTTTCGGGAACGCGTGGCGGGCTCAGCCGGAATGGCCACTCTGGCCCAAGACATCCTGGAGATGCTGTCACGCCTGAAGTTGGACCACGTGTGGACTGACACGCACTACGTGGGACTGCAGTTCCCGGACCCGTGAGTGCTGGGAATACGAGGCAAGGAGGCACGGAATGGGGACACGTGTTCATACTACCCACTCACCCTCAGGGCTCGCCCCAATACCCTGCACTGGGTGGATGCGGCCGGGAGCGCCCAGGAGCAGCTACCATTGGAGGACCCTGAGGCCTACTGTCCCTACAGCGCAACTGGCAGCGCCAAGGTGAGCGCCTCCTGGCTGTCCCAGGTTGGGGTGCAGCGTATACATGTCTTTGCAGAGTTGGGACAGGGAGCCTCACCATCCCTTGCGTCCCCAGGGCCAGCTGGTGTATGCACACTATGGGCGGCAGGAGGATCTGCAGCACCTGCAGGCCAAGGGCATGGAGCTGGCTGGATGCCTCCTGCTGGTGCGCGTCGGGGTGACCAGCTTTGCCCAGAAGGTGAGGGACTCAAACAGGGCGACCTTGTAGAGTGCAGTGTGGGGGACACAAGGAGATGGTCAGAGGGAGAAAAGAAAGATCAGGCAAGTTTTAAGAAAATATTGGCAGCTCAGGCATGGTGGCACATGCCTTTAATCATAGCACTTGGGAGACAGAAGCAGGCAGATCTCACAGGGATCTCTGTGAGACCCAGGCCAGACTGGTCTACATAGAGAGTTCCAGGCCGGCTGGCACTACAGGGAGACCTTATCTCAAAACAAAACCCCCAAACAAACAAACCAGAGGGATAGGTGAGATGATAGCTCAGATGCTAACCACTAAATCTGATAAACTAAATTGAATCCCCAGGACCTACAATGGTGGAAGGAGAGAAACAACTGCTCCTGCAGGTTGTCCACACATACACACTAAATAAATAAATAAATAAATAAATAAATAAATAAATAAATAAATAAATAAATGTAATTTTAAAGTCATAGAAACAAAATAAGCTGGGTGTGGTACGGCACACGTTTAATCCCAACACTCAGGAGGCAGGTGAATCTCTGTGAGGTCTAGACCAGCCTGGTCAACATAGTAAGTTCCAGGTCAGCTGGGGCTACAGGGATACCTTGTCTCAAAAACAAAACAAAAAATCAGGGAGAGATGGTTCAGTGGTTAAGACCACTGGCTGCTCTTTCAGAGGACCCTGGTTCAATTCCCATGTGGCAGCTAACAACTGGCTGTAATTCCAGTTCCAGGGGATTCAACACCCTCTTCTGACTAGTATTGCACCACATAGGTACATTTATGTACATGCAGGCAATACACTCATATCAATAAAATAAAAGTAATAAATAAAAAAAAAATTTGTCTTATTGAGACAGGGTCTCCCTGTAACCCCAGCTGGCCTGGAACCTGCTGTATAGACCAGGCTGACCTTGAGCTCACAGAGATCTGCCTGTCTCTGCCTCCCAAGTCCTGGGATTAAAGGCATGCACCACCACGCCTGGCCTATATTTTTTAAAAACAAAAACAAAACCACAAAACCCAAAATAAATTAAAATATGGGCTTCCTATGTGACTCAGGGGGAAGAGGGCTTGCCTAGCATGCACAAAACCCTGGGTTCCAGGGCCGGAGAGATGGCCAGCGGTTAAGAGCACTCACTGCTCTTGTAGAGCAGGTTTGATTCCCAGCACCCACATGGCGGCTATGAACCGTCCTTAACTCCAGTCCCAGGGGAATCCAATGCCCTCTTCTGACCTCCACAGCATTGAACAACACAGGTGTACTTACATACATGCAGGCAATACACTCATACACATAAAATAAAAATAATAAATAAAATATTAAAACCCTGCATTCCATCCCCAGCACTGTATACACACAAGTGGTGCTCACCTGTAACCCCAGCTTGAGAAGGAAGAAGCAGGAAGACCAGAAGTTCAAGGCCATCCTTAGCTACATGCGGAGTTCAAGGCCTGCTTGAGCTAGAGAACCTGTCTCAAAAATGAAATGAAATAAAATAAAATAAAAATAGGGTTTCAGAAGGGTGATGAGGTGGATCAGCAGGTAAAGGTGCTTGCTGTAAAGCCTGATGACCTGAGTTCAATCCCTGGAACCCACATGACTCCTGCAAGTTATCCTCTGACCTCCACATGTGCACCATGGTATGTGCACGCACGCACACACACACACACACACACAGGTGCACACACACTAAATGTTTTAAAATTAAAAATAATGGTTCAGTGGTAGAGCACTTGCCTAGTATACGCAAGGCCCTGGGTTTAATCTCAGTACTAAAAAAAATGTTAGCAGCAAACAAAAGAAGGAGGATTAAGCCCCTCCGATAGGGAAGAGAACAGAAAAGGAGGCAGTGGGGCACAGGGGCTTTTGAAGCCTGAAGAACTGAGGGAGGGCCATAACACAAGTACCAGGTGGTATCCACATAGTCCTTAAAGATGACAGCTGCAGCAGAAGGGGCCATTAAAAGAGAGAGAGAGAGAGAGAGAGAGAGAGAGAGAGAGAGAGAGAGTGTGTGTGTGTGTATTTTGCCTGCATGTATGTAAATGCACCACACGTATGCAGTGCCCATGGTGGCCAGAAAAGGGTGATGGATCCCCTGGAACTGGAGTTCAGACAGTTGTTAGCCACCATATGGATGCTTAGAACTGAGCAGTGGTTAAGAGCCACTGCTCTTAACCACTTAGTAATCTCTCCAGCCTCCAGAAAGGCCCATTTTACTTTTCCTTCCTTTGCTGTACTCCCCCAGGTGGCCACTGCCCAGGACTTTGGGGCCCAAGGAGTGCTGATATATCCTGACCCAGCAGACTTCTCCCAGGACCCTCACAAGCCAGGCCTGTCCCGCCACCAGGCTGTGTATGGGCATGTGCGTCTAAGGGGAGCCATTAGTGCCTTCCTGGGGTCTAGGGCTACATCAGTGGAATTTGCCCAGTCACCCAGTTTCAGGGTGAGCATTCCTGCCTCTTTAGGTGCACCTAGGAACTGGGGACCCCTACACACCTGGCTTCCCTTCCTTCAATCAAACCCAGTTCCCTCCAGTGGAATCATCAGGCCTTCCCAGCATTCCTGCCCAGCCCATCAGTGCAGACATTGCTGAGCGCTTGCTCAGGTAAGAGGCATGAGAGTGGAGGGCAGGAGAGAAGAAGGGCTGCAGTTAGCCACAGCCAAGCTCCAAGGTAGATCCCTGGGGCTCACTGGCCAGCCAGTTTAGATGAATTGGAGAGTTCAGGCCAAGTGAGAGGCTGTCTCAAAAACTAAGGTGGTCCAGCAAGATGGCTCAGCGAAGAAAGGTGCTTGCTAACAAGTCTGACAACCTGAGTTCAATTCCCAGGACCAACATGGTAAAAGGAAAGAACTGACTCCTGCAAGTTGTTCTCTGACCTCCATACATGTGCTGTGGTATGCATGCACTCCCCTATACACAGTAGATAAATAAAACATAACATTTTTTGGTCATTGTTTTGAGACGGGGTCTCCCTGTAGCCCCAGCTGACCTGGAACTCACTATGTGACCTTGAACTCACAGAGATTCGCCAACCTCTGCCTCCCGTGTGCTGGGATTAAAGGCATGTACCACCATGCTCAGAATATATATATTATTTAAACCAAGGTGGACGGCACCTGAGAATGACACACAGGTTGATCTCTGGCCTATACACATGCACTCATGCACACACACACATACACAAGAGGTGACCCTTTGGGGGGGGTCACATCTCTTATCAAGCCCCATCATCTAGTACATATTCCTGTGCTAAGCACCCTTCAGCAGGTCACAACCTGTACGACTGTCCACAGCAGCCCCAAGACTGGACTGGACTGCCCCACTAAGCAGGGTACAGAGACAAGGATCCAGAGAAAGAGGGCAGGAGGACTTTGAGCTCTCCCAAAGCCTAAGCCTCGCTCTCACTGCCAGTCTTGTCTTCTCCACCCGTTTTCAGGAAACTCAAAGGCCCTGTGGCCCCCCAGGAGTGGCACGGGCACCTCCCAGGCTCTCCTTATCGACTGGGCCCGGGACCAGGTCTGCGCCTAGTGGTAAACAATCACAGAACCTCCACTCCCATCAACAACATCTTTGCCTGCATTGAGGGCTTCGCAGAGCCAGGTGTGCTTGTCTGCCCAGCATCAGATGGGATTGGCACAGGAGGAGGCCCAACAGAAGGGGCAGGAGTGGTACTCAGGGAACAGAGGCTGGTGATTGGGATGGCAGAGAATGAGCAATATCGCTTGGTAATGAGCTCCCCACATATGGGAAGTGAGCAAGCATATGTTGGATGATATACCAGAGATCCAAGCTACAGGCTAGATCAGATAATGCCTCTCGTGGGGGCAGGGCAGGAATCAAAAGTTGCTGTGTAGACTTCGGGGAGACCCGGGATGCTCGTGATTATCCAGGTGTCAGGGGAAAAGCAGACCTGGGGTGGTGCTCAGATGAAGATGGAGGTGGGAGTGGGAGTACGGGGGAGGGGCTGGAGAAAGGAAAATGGGTTGGGCTGGGGGGAGGTGTGGGCCCTGCCTGACTGGAGAAAGTATAGAATCCAGAATGTCTTTAGGGTCTATCCAAGCATGACAGCTCACAACTCTCTTCCCTTCCTGCTGAGGCAGGAGGATCAAGAGTTTAAGGCATGCTTAAGGCATGCCTGGGCTATATAAAAGTCCAAGGCTGGCCTAGGTCTCAAGACCCTGTCTTTGTTTTGTGGTTTCCTGACACAGAGTATCCCTATAGCCCTACCTAGCCTGGAACTCACTATGTAAACCAGGCTGGCCTCGATCTCACGGAGATCCACCTGCCCACACCTCCCCAGTGGTGGGATTGATGTTTGTTTTGAGGGTTTTCTTTCTTTTTTTTTTTTTTTTTTTTTTTTATACCAATCTCCTTTTGAAGAGACTGGGTCTACCTGTAGCCATGGCTAGCCTTGAACTTGCTATGTAGACCAGTGTGGCCTCCAATTCACAGAGATCCACCTGCTCTGCCTCCTAAGTGCTGGGATTAAAGGTATATTGCCACCATGCCTGGCCTAAATAAATAACAAAATAATAAATAGCCAGCCATGGTGTCACTCACCTGGAAGTAGATCAGCATAGGATAAAAACAAAACAAAAACCCCAGAAAAACAGTGTTCTTAGAGGTAACTTGACTGGTAGAGTGCTTGCCTAGCATGCAAGAAGGCCTGGGTTTGATGCCAGCACTATATAAAACTAGATATAAAGCTGGCTCAGTGGTAGAGTGCTTGCCTAGTAAGTGTAAGGATCTGGGTTCTATTCCCAGTACCACAAAAAATAAAAATTGCCAGGTATCAGGCATGGCAGCGTATGCCTTTAATCCCAGCACTCAGGAGGCAGAGGCCAGTCTGGTCTATGTAGTGAGTTCAAAGCCAGCTGGGGCTCCAGGGAGACCCTGTCTCAGAAACTAGATGTGGTGGTACATGCCTATAAGCACAGCTATTGGGAGATGGAGACAGAAAGGTCAGGACTTTGAGGCCAACCCGGGTTGAATGAAACCGTGTCTCAAAAAAATAAAAATTTAGAGGGAAAACCCCTCAAAATTGTCCCCAGGTACCCTGCTGAAGGATCAGATCATCCACGTGGGACTAAGGGAGGTGGGCCTGGTCTTTGGGGGACAGCAGGGATTATAGACTAGGGCATAGAGACAGGGTGGGCTGCAGCACTGATGCTGGGGAAGGGGTATTTGGAGAGGTAGAAGTGAAGCCCTAGGAGCACTCACGCTCCCCTAGGTGTAGGCAGGAGAGTAGGATACTGCCAATTTAAGACATGAGCTCTACACGTTTCATCCTTAGATCACTATGTTGTTATCGGGGCGCAGAGAGATGCATGGGGCCCAGGAGCAGCCAAGTCTGCAGTGGGGACTGGTATTCTGCTGGAGCTGGTGCGGACCTTTTCCTCCATGGTGAGCAATGGTAAGGTCAGAACCAGGCTGGAGCCATGTCCCCAAGCCAGCTCTAGGACAAAGGTAGTTGGCAGTATATACTAGAGGAACGTCACTTGGCCCTGGGCTCCATACTTGCAATATCCAGTGTGTGGCTCTGGGCATGTTAATTCACCTCCATAGTGTTTCTTCATCTAAAAATGTTTTTGCCCAGGGACTGGGGTGATGGCTCGGCAGGTAAAGGTACTTACTACCAAGTCCAATGACCTGAGTTTGATCCCCAGAACCCACACGGTGGAAGGAGAGAACTGACTCCTGCAAGTTGTCCTTTGATCTCCACATGCATGCCACACACATACTAAATAAACGTTTTAAAAAGTATTTTATTTATTATTTTTATGTAAATGAGTGTATTGTCTGCATGTAAGTAGGTGTACCCATGTTGTACAAAGCCCACAGAGGTCAGGAGAGGGCAACAGATTCCCTGGAACTGGAGTTATGGGTGGTTGTTAGCCACCATGCGGGTGCTGGGAATCAAATCTGGGTCTTCTGCAAGAACAGCCAGTGCTCTTAACCTCTGAGCCATCTCTCCAGACCCCTAAATAACTGTTTTTAAATTTTTTTAATGTGAGACTAGCAATATGGCTCATTCCCTCTTCTGGCCTTTGTGGGCATTGCACACATGTGGTATACTTACATGCCTGCAGGCAAAAACATTCATTTACGTAAAATAAAAAATTTTTAAATTAAAAAGATGCATATACACGGGCTGGAGAGATGACTCAGTGGTTAAGAACACTAGTTGTTCTTGCAGAAGACCTGGGGTTCAAACCCCAGCACCCACATGACAGCTAACAACTATCCATAACTCCAGTTCCAAGGGGATCCAACAGCCTCTTCTGACCTCCAAGGGCATTGCACAGCATGGGTACACTTACCCACATGCAGGCAATACATGCATACACATAAAATAAAAATAACAAATAAATAAATTTAAAAAGATGCATATAACCGATCCAACTCCAGCCTGTAATTGTTGAGTCAGCACTGACCCAGGATGAGATGGGTTCATGGGTGGTAAGTGGAGACCCCTGGGGACAGGGATAAAGAAATACAAGAGGGGCTGGAGAGATGGCTCAGAGGTTAAGAGCACTGGCTTCTCTTACAGAGGACCTAGGTTTAGTTCCCAGCATCCACATGGTGGCTAACAACTGTCTGCAACTCCAGTTGCAGGAGATCTGATGCCCTCTTCTGGCCTCACAGGCATTGCCCACACATGGTACACTTATATACACCTGCAGGCAAAAACACTCATACACATAAAATATGAACAAATAAAAAAAAGAAAAGAAAGGCTGGGAACGCTAACGACATGCCGTTCCCCCCAGAGTGAGTCTTCCTTCACCCTTCTGCTCCTAGGGTTCCGACCCCGCAGAAGTCTTCTCTTTATCAGCTGGGACGGAGGTGACTTCGGCAGTGTGGGCTCCATGGAGTGGCTGGAGGTGATTCAGGGTGGTGAGCATGTAACCAGGTAGTTGGGAAAGTTTGGGGGGGTGCTTCCTTCTCTACACTCTTCCCTCACCCACAGGGCTACCTCAGTGTGCTGCACCTCAAAGCTGTAGTCTATGTGAGCCTGGACAACTCAGTTTTGGGTGAGCTGGGGCAATGCCACCTTCTGGCCCTCTCTGGTTCATCTGATGCCAGTCTCTGGGTCTAGGTTTAGATCTGGCATCCCACCTCTCCCTTCTCTTCTCAGGGGACAGCAAGTTCCACGCCAAGACCAGCCCCCTTCTAATCAGCCTCATTGAGACTATCTTGAAGCAGGCAAGAGTGGACCCAGGCTGGGCATGAGGGAGGGACATGCTGGTGGGGGTGGAGCCTGACTGTTGCTCCCTCTGCCACAGGTGGAGTCCCCTAACCACAGTGGACAGACCCTCTATGAGCAAGTTGTATTCACCAATTCTAGCTGGGATGCTGAAGTGTAAGGAGGAGTAGATAGGAGACCTGGGAGGGGGCGGGTAGGGAAAATGAGTCCTCAGAGTCCCCCAACCTGCCTGCCCTCAGGATCCAGCCCCTGCCCATGGACAGCAGCGCTTATTCCTTCACCGCTTTTGCGGGGGTCCCAGCTGTGGAGTTCTCCTTTATAGAGGTGAGACTTCCCGTCCCTTGCCCCAAGACAGCGGGCCCCTGGCCTATCTGCACCACGTCCCTGCCCCTCAGCATCTCCATGTCCCGACAGGATGATCAGGTATACCCGTTCCTGCACACGAAGGAGGACACGTATGAGACCCTGCACAGGACGCTGCGAGGCCGCCTGCCCGCCGTGGCCCAGGCTGTGGCTCAGTTCGCGGGCCAGCTCCTCATCCGTCTGAGTCACGACCATCTGTTACCCCTCGACTTCGGCCGTTATGGGGACGTGGTCCTCAGGCACATCGGCAGCCTCAACGAGTTCTCTGGGGACCTCAAGGTTCAGGACGCCAGTCCCACTCCACCACCCGGGCGGTGGGGGTCCAGCCTCTCCCCTCCACCCCCACCCCATTCCTGCGATCTAGGTCCCATCCTGCAGCCTGGCCCTTTTTATTTCTACCTCCAGGCAGCTAATCCCGGAGGACACAGGCAGGATGACCCAAGTCCTGGGATCTGCCCTCCCTAACCTCACAAGCCGGGTCTTCTCCCTCTATCCTATCCCCCATCCGTACCTTCCCACTCCTGCCAGGCCCCATCCCCCAGCACCCTGACCCTACCCTATGTAGGGTGCTGGTACCTGCCCGAAGATCCCAGACTGCGTCTCACCCACAGGCCCGCGGGCTGACCCTGCAGTGGGTGTACTCGGCTCGCGGGGACTACATCCGAGCGGCGGAGAAGCTGCGCAAGGAGATATACAGCTCGGAGCAGAGTGACGAACGCCTGATGCGCATGTACAACGTGCGCATCATGAGGGTGAGGCCCCGCCCCCCGCCCTCTTCCGCTTGCCAGGAGTCCCTTACCCCTGGTCCTCACAACTGCTTTTGCAAGACCCAGGCAGGACTTTTCTTGGCTAGTCTGTTCCTGTCCTCGGGGGTGCACTGTACTGGACACACAGTACTCACAAACAAGCCAGGGTAGAGGACTTGACCTGTCTGTCAGTTTGGTGGGCTCTGCAAGACGATGAAATGGATAGGGAGGGCCTGCCTCCTCCTTGCCTATAGTAGCTGAGCCAGAGCATCTCCCACTTAGCTCTCTAACCGCTCTGGAGAGAGAAGGCATATCCACGATGGTTACAGCAGGCACAGGTTACAGGAGGAACACGCCTATGTGTGAAAGACTAAAGAAATTCAGAGACCAACTTTGATCCCAGCAATTGGGAGACAGAGGCAAGAGGTAGTTTCAGGTCAGTCTGGGTGAAATACCAAGACCCTGTATAAAAAAGAAAGGATGGGGGGCTGGAGAGATGGCTCAGTGGTTAGGAGCACCGTCTGCTCTTGAAGAAGACCTGGGTTTGACTCCCAGCACCCACATGATGACTAACAACCGTCTGTAACTCCAGTTCCATTTCTCAAAGTAGGAGGGGGAGGGACAGGGCTAGAGTGATGGCTCAGTTGGTAAAGTGCTTGCTGCATAAGCATGAGGTACTGAGTTCTGTACCAGTATCCATATAAAAAGCTAGGCTCAGTAACGCAAGCCTGTAACCCCAGCACTGGGGAGGTAGAGACAGGAGGAGCCTGGGGGCTCATTGGTCAGCTTGTCTCACCAAATCATTAAGCTCCTGGTTCAGTGAAAGATCTTGTCTCAAATATTAAGGTGGGCTGGGCTGGAGAGATGACAGCAGTTAAGAGCATGTACTGTCTCTTAGAGAGACCATGAGTTCAATTCCCAGCACCCATGTCAGGTGACTCACAACAGCCTGTAATTCCAGCTCCAGGGGGTATCAGAAGACTCTGGCCTTTGTGGGCATATACTTATACAGAGACACACACACACGCAGATAACTAATAAAAATAAATTTTAAAATAAGGTGGTGGGCCTGGCATGGTGGCACAGATCTTTCTTTTTTTTGGTCTTTTTAATTTAATATTAATATTATCAAATAATAATAATGATGTGGAGAGTGACTGTGGAAAACTTATCCAATGTTGACCTTGGCCTCCACACATATACATGCACACACACACATGAACACACACATGCATATAAGATGTGTGAATTCTAGCCAGGCAGGGTGGCGTATACCTTTAATCCCAGCACTTTGGAGGCAGAGGCAGGTGGATCTCTATGAGTTCAAGGCCAGCCTCGTGTACATAGTGAGTTCCAGGACAGCTGGGACTACAGGGAGACCCTGTCCCAAAAAGACCAAAAAAAAAAAAAAAAAAGATGTGTGAGCATCAAAGGCTTATCCAGAGATTTTGGTTTTGCTGGGGTGGTGCCCAGGCAATGATTACTACTATTTTTTATATTTTTTTTTTTGAGATAGAGTCTTCTGTAGCCACAACTGGCTTGAAACTCGCTATGTAGACCAGACTGGCCTCAGTATCACAGAGATCTGCTTGTCCCTGCCTCCCAAGTGCTGGTATTAAAGGCATGTGTCACCACGCCTGACTGCAATGATTATTTTTAAACCTTTTCTTTAGCTGGGCATGGTGGCATATACCTGTAATTCCGAAACTTGAGAAACTAAGGCAGAATTGTCTAGCATTATAAGGCAACCTGTACTACATAGTTTGGGGGTCAGCCTAGGCTACATAGGAAGATCCTTTTTCAACAAAAACACAAACAAACAAAAATCTCCCTTCTGTGAGTCTGGTCTGCAGCCAGGTTTGAAAACTCCAAGGCTGTAGTACAGAGAAGGGTAGAGAAGTCATGTCTATAAGGGGGTTGGGGAGAGAAGGACCACAGTGAGAGAATGGCCATTCACGAAAGAGGAAACAGAACCTGGAGCAGAGGGAGTGGGCTCTTCATCAGCTCTGGATTGTCCCTTGACCTTTGGCTCTGCTGTGGACATTGGTGGAGGAGGGGCAGCACAACAAGGGTGTGGAAAGATATGACAGCAAGCAGAAGTTTGGGGAGACCTAGGTGCAGGCTTAAGAGCGTCCATGGAAAGATCAGGCTGATCTGGACTACAGAGCAAGACATTGTTACAAAAAACAGTGCTGGGGCTGGAGAGATGGCCCAGTAGTTAAGAGCACACATTGCTCTTTTCGTATTTTGAGACAGGATCTCCCTCTAGGTCCCAGCTGGCCTCAGTCTCACAGAGATCCTCCTGCCTCTGCCTCCTGAGTGCTGGGATTAAAGACATGTGCCACCACGCCCAACTAGTAGTCAAGACCACGAACTACTCTTTCCGAGGACCCAAATTTGATTCCCAGCACCCTTGTCTGGTGGCTCACAACCACCTGTAGTGCGGGCTTCCAGGGGATCTGACGCCTTCTTCTGATCTCCACAGGCATCTGCACTCATGTGGTGCAGATATGCCCACACAGACGCACAAGCATACACAAAATTAAAAATAAAAATAAATCTTTGAAGCAAAGAGGTTGGGAGAGATATAGCTCAGTAGAGTGCTTGTCTAGCATGCCTAAAACCCTGGGTTCCATTCTCAGGACAACATAAACAGAGTGTGAGGGTGCATACCTGTAATTCCAGCACTTGGTGAAGGGATAGAGGCAGGGGGATCAGGAGTTTCAAGGTCATCCTTTATTATATTGTGAGTTTCAGCCCAACCTGAGCTACGTGAGATGATGCCTTGAAAAAAAGAGCAAGACATTGTTTCAAAAAACAGTGTTGGGGCTGGAGAGATTGCTCAGTAGTTAAGCGCTCTGGCTGCTCTTGCAGAGGATCTGGGTTTAGGTCCCAGCTCCCACATGATAGTTAACCATTTGTAACTCCAGTTCCAGGGGATCCAATGCCCTCTTCTTATGCATATTCAATAAAAATAAATAAAGTTGTTAAAGGCAGTGGCAGAGGATTAGAACCCAAAGCACTGGAAGAAGTGTCCTGCCTGGCTCCTAGTGACGCCATGAGACCGGCAGCCAAAGGAGGTGGGGTTCAAAGAAGCTGCTGGACTGTATTTATGCAGATCTGATCTTTCTTTTTGGTACAGGTGGAGTTCTATTTCCTGTCTCAGTATGTGTCGCCTGCCGACTCCCCATTCCGCCACATCTTCTTGGGCCAAGGAGACCACACGCTGGGTGCCCTGCTGGACCACCTGCGCCTACTGCACCCTGGTGGCTCCCAGAGCTCTGGGCTGGCACCAGGTCTGGACTTCCAAGAGAGCCGCTTCCGGCGCCAGCTAGCACTGCTCACCTGGACGCTGCAGGGTGCAGCCAACGCGCTCAGTGGTGATGTCTGGAACATTGATAATAACTTTTGAGGCACAGTGTCCACCCTGAGTCCCACATATTCCTCCTGACTCTCTTGATGGGAGCCCTTCCTCTCCCTGTTTCAGTGGTGCAGGTGGAAGGAGGTGGTCCATAGGCCTCTCATTGCAACTGGCTTCTCATGAGCCCTTCTGGTCCCTACATGGGGCCTGGCACTGACCCACGCCCTTGATCCTCAGTGACCAGTATTTTCACAATGTGACAGTCATACAGTATTACCCAGAGAGCTGCTTCCTCTCCAGTCATCAGCGCCCCTTCCCCTTTCGGGAGCAGAGTCCTCATACCTAGAGCCCACCTAGACTCTGGGACCTGGCCAGCTCTCTCAGTGAGAAAGATGGATAGTTCCATGTCTATGGCCAATGGGTGATCTGAAGTGGGAAGCCCAACTTCAAGCTTGGACTTCAATAAACTTCCTGGTAATGTCTGTTCATAAACATTTTAGTTTCCTCTTCACCCCATCCCTACCCCTCAGGCCTCCCTTGACACCCGGGTGGGCAGAAGGGACCAGAGAGGATGCTGAATGCAGGGTGCTGTCTCCAATGGGGAAAGAGCTGTTTTGTTGTCTAAGGAAACTGCCTATAGAGATAATGACAGGGTGGGATGGGATGACTCACTGGGTAAAGGTGCTTGTCACCATGCCTGACAGCCTGAGTCTGATCCCCAGGACCCACATGGTGGAAGGCAAGAACTGGTTCCCACCGGTTTTCCTCTGACTGCCACATACACACAAACAAATGTTTAAAAATGTTTTGTTGGGCCATGTGTGTTGTCATATGCCTTTAATCCCAGAGCAATCCCAGCACTCAGGAGTCAAGGGCAGGTGGATCACCCATGAGGTGAAGGACAGCCTGGGATGGTCTATATAGCAAGTTCCAGCCCAACTGCCAGTGCATAGTGAGATCCTGTCTCAAAGAAACTAAAGTTTTAAGATTTACTTTATTAACTAGGCATAGTAATGTAGGCCTTTAATCTCAGCAGTCAGGAGGCAGAGGCAGAGGCAGGTGGAACGCTGTAAGATCAAGACCAATCTGAACTACATAAGGAGTTCTAGGCCACAAGGGGCTACAAGGAGACCCTGTCTCAAAACCCTCCTCTGTAAAAATATTTACTTTATTATTTATTTATGTGTATGTATGTATCTCTTTGTATGTGCTCATGAGTGCAGGTGCCCATGGAAGTCAGAAAAGGGCATCAGATCCCCTAGAGCTGGAATTACAAACAGTTGCTAGACACCATACGTGTGCTGGAAACTAAACTCATGTCCTCTTCAAGAGCAGCCAGTGCTCTTAAGTTCTGAGTCATCTCTCCAGTTCTGAAACAATGTTTTTAGAAAAGATGATGGATGAAGGAGGCTGGAGAGATGGGTCTGAGGTTAAGAGCACTGGTTGCTCTCGCAGAGAACCTGAGTTTGGTTTTCAGCACCTACATAGCTCACAACTGTTGGTAAATCCATTTCCAGGAATCCAGTGCCCTCTTCTGGCTTCCACAGGCATTGCACACACCAGTGCTCTTACATACATGCAGACAAAACAATCATGCATATGAAAATTAAGTTAAATTAAAAAGATGACGAAGGTCTGTTCTCTGAAGGCCACCATGGGGGTTGTGGGAGACTGGGTTTGGATAAAGGATGGCTACCTAATTTTTACATCTGGGTGAAGAGTAAAAATATGGGGTCCGTAGCCAGGTGTGGTAGCACACGCCTTTAGTCCCAGCACTCGGTAGGAAGAGGTGGATCTCTGTGAGTTCCAGGCCAGCCTGGTCTACATAGTTTCTTGCAGAGGACCTGGGTTCAGATCCCAGCACCTCTATGACAGCTAGCAACCATCCTAACTCCAGTTCCAGGGGATTTGACACCCTCTTCTGACTTCTGTGAGCATTGTACAACATGGGTGCAGGCAAAACACTCATACACATAAAATAAAAATAAATATTTTTTAAAAAAATATAGCATAAGAGCCTGAACTCAGGCAAGAACAGGAAATCTTCATAGGTGGTTCAAGAGCTACTCAAAGGACTAGGAGAGATAGCTCAGTGACTAAGAGTACTTGTTACCTTTCCAGAGGGCTCAAGTTCAGTTCCCAGCACTCATGTTAAGTAGCTCACAATTGCCTATAGCTCCAGCTCCAGGTTATCCAATGCCCACTTCTGGCCTCTGTAGGCATTCCACACACCTGTGGCATTCACTCATATAGACACATACATGGACACATCAGTGAAAATAAATCTTTTTTTTTCATTAAAGATGCATTTATTTAGATTTGATCATACCAAATTAGAGTGTGACTGGTAGCCTTACAAAAGCAGATAAAACACATAGACACAAAGAAAAGAAGTTCATATGAAGATGGAGACAGAAAACTGGGCTTGGTGGTGTATGTCTGTCATCCCAGAAGTCAGGAGGTGGAAGTAGAAGGATCAGAAATTCAAGGTCATTCTTAGCTACACAGCAAATTCAAGGTCTTAATAAATAAATTCAAGACCAGCCTGGGTCACATAAGACCATGTTTTAAGTACATAGATAAGTAAATATTTAAAAAGATGGAGACTTGGCAACTCATTTTCAAGGCCCCTCCTGGCTGCAGAGAGCTGTTTCTTCTCTTCTCAATAAACTTTGCTTACTTGCCCACCATGTAGAGGCAGGATCCGGGCACTCACAGGCAGTCCCCTGCGGCTCCAGGAGAAACTGAAGAAAGAAAAACTTATGGCACAGGAATAAATTGAGCATAAAAGAAATGCAGATAAAAGTAAAAACAACAAAAAACCCCACAGCACTCTTCTTCAAAAGGTAGGAAGAGTTGGGTGTGGTGGCTCAGATCCAAAATTCCAATCCCAGGAAGCTGAGGCAGGAGGAGGACTGAACAGTCAGGGCCAGGGGCTGGGGAGATGGCTCAGTTGGTAAAGGGTCTGCCTCGTAAACATGAGGAACTGGGTTCAGTCCCCAGCATCTGCATAAAAGCTGGGTGTGGTGGTATAAACTTCCAATCCCAGTGCTGGGGAGGTGGAGGCAGGCACCTTTACCTTTACCAGATAAGCCATCTTACCAGCCCAGCTCTCTCTCTACTTAATGGCTTCAGGAGGCTGCAGCCCCACTTCCCCGCCACTGGCACCGGCATAAATTCAGGGCTTATTTCCTTGATCTTTTCTTCTTCTTCTATAAAAGATCTATTTTATTTTTTTAAATTATGTGTATGTATATGTTTTTTATTTATTCATTTTATTTTATGTCTATGGGTGTATTGTATGTAAGTGCACCCATATCTGCAATGCCCATGGAGATCAGAAGAGGGCATCAGATCCCCTGTAACTAGAGTCATGGATGACTGTTAGCTGCCATGTGGGTGCTGGAAACCAAACCCAAGTCCTCTCCAAGAGCAGCCAATGGTCCTAATTGCTGAGCCATTTCTCCAGCCCCAATATATGTATATGTTTATATGCTCACGTGAGTGCAGTGCTCACAGAGGCCAGAAAAGGGCACTGGATCCATAGGAGTGGGAGTTACAGATGGTTGTGAACTGTCTGATGTGGGTGCTGGGAACCAAACTCAAGTCTTCTGGGAGAGCAGTACATGGTCTTTTCTACTTTTTGTTTTTTGTTTTGTTTTGTTTTTGTTTTGATACAGGATCTCCCTGTAGGCCCAGCTGTAATGGAACTCACTATGTAGACCAGGCAGGTCTCCATCTCACAGAGATGTGCCTGCCTCTGCTTCCCGAGTGCTGGGACTAACAACCTGCCCTGGTGTGCCTGGCACAGTGCATTCTCTTTACATGTTTTTAACCACTGAGCTATTTCTCCAGCCTCTCCTTGGTCTTTTCATGCTCCCAGCACTGTGTGGAGGTCTTAGCTCCCCAGGACACTGAGAAGATCTCTTCATCTAAGGCTTGGGATAGCTCAGGATCTGGGTTTCCAAAAGAAACTGCCTCCTCTCTGCCCTCCCTGCCACCAAGCCTGACTTGGTAGCTTCTCAGAACCTTGAGCCTGCACTGGGGTCAGAGCTCAACTGTTTGCTTCCCTGGCCTGTGCTCCAAAGCATATTTCCCAATAGGGCTTCACTGCCCTTCTCTCCTTTGCCTGTTTGCTTCTGTAGACAGAACAATGGTGCCCACAGGGATGTCCACATTGTAACCCTTGAAACATGTCAATCAATGTCACCTGATGGGCACATTGGACTTTGTGATTCAGGGTCTTCTCCCACATCCTTGTCTTCCTCATCCTCCTTTTTCTGAGGTAGGGTTTCATACAGTTCAGGTTGCCTGGAACTCACTAAAGGGTGACCTTGAACTCTGTTTCTCTGCCTCTACCCACCACATATTGAGATTAAAGGCATGTACCACCATATTTCGCTGAGGTTAGAGATCTGACGTGCAACCCCCAAAGTCGTATGTTGAAGCCTTGCCTCTTAGCACTCCAGAGACTATATTTGGATGTAGGGCTTTTTTTGTTTTTCTTTTGGAGACAAGGTCTTACTACGTAACCAAGCTGCCCTTGAACTCTAGATCCTCCTGCATCAGCATCCTGAATGTAGGTTATTTGGTATAGGACATTTAAGGAGGTTGGTTTTTTTAATGCTTTATGTGTATGAGTGCTTTACCTACATGTGTGTAAATGCACTCATGTCTGCAATGCCCACAGAGGTCAGAAGACGGTGTGTCAGATCCCCTGAAACTGGAGTTACAGAGGGTTATTAGATGTCATGTGGATGCTGGGATTCAAACTGGGTCCTCTATGAGAGCAGCCAGTACTTTTAGCCACTGAGCCATGGCTCCAGCTCCAGGAGGTTGAATTTAAATAAAGAACTATCCAAACTTGGTGGTGCATGTCAGGCAAAATGGACTTTGTTGTTACCATTAAGGTGGTCATCCTCCTTCTCCTCTACCTCCTCCTCCTGGAGGCTAAGGCAAGAGGCCAGCCTGGGCTACAGAGAGACCTTGTCTCAAAATAAAATGTAAAAAAACAACAGCAAACCAAAAATGAGGTAAAGGGCTACAAAGTAAGAAGAGCATTCTGGGGATTGTCAGCATGTGGACAACCTCGGGAAGAGGTCCGGCTGAGACTTGGGTTGTACAGCAAACAGAATTAGATGTTTCCTTTCAGGCCAGAAAAATTGGCTGAGGAACAGGGTAGGGAGCAAAGGTATTTAAAAATATCTTCTGTGGTGCTGAGATTGGAACCCAAGGTCTCAAATATGCTGGGAAAGTGCTCTACCACTGAGACCTAGTCACAGTCCCTCACTGGGGGATTCGAGGCAGGTGCTCTACCACTGAGCTCAAACCTCAGCCCTAAGAGGGGTCCTTTTTTCTTCAGTACCAGGGATTGAACCTAGGCAAGTGCTCTATTGTTGATATACATCCTAGTCCTGTTATTGTTGCTGTGTTTTTGTTTTGTTGAGACAGGGTCTCACTATGTAGCCCGAGCTGGAACTCACTATGTAGACTAGGCTGGTCCCCAACTCATAGAGATCCACCTGCTTCTGCCTCCAGAAGTGATGGGATTAAATGTGTGTACCACAATGCCCTTGCTGGTGCTCGTTTTACTTTTTTTTTTTTTTTTTTTTTTCGGTCTTTTTGAGACAGGGTCTCCCTGTAGTCCCTGGTGGCCTGGAACTCACCATGTAGACCAGGCTGGCCTCAAACTCACAGAGATCTGCCTGCCTCTGCCTCCCGAGTGCTGGGACTAAAGGTGTGTACCACCACACCTGGCTTCTTTTTACTTAAAAAAAAAATCATTTACTTACTTTTATTTGTACAAGTGGTTTGTACTAGTATGTATGTAGTACCGGAGAAGTCCAGAAGAGGGGAACAGAGCCACCATGTGGGTCCTGGGAATGGAATCAGGTCCTTTTCAAGAACAGCAAATGCTCTTAACCCCTGAGTCACCTCTTCAGCCCCTTCTTATTTGTTTGGTTTTTGTTTCTTTTTATTTTAAGATATTGTCTTACTAAGTTGCCTGGCAGGCCTTGAACTTTCCCTGGATCCCCAAGGAGTGGGAGGAATCAATGGAGACTTGGGGAGGGGCCTGGGGATAGCTCAGTTACTAAAGTGCCACCATGCAAACTTGGGACCTGCACTCAGATCACCCCGTGTCTTAGTTTCTTTTCTGTTGCTGTGATAAAATACCCTGACAAAAACTTAAAGAAGGAAGGTTTATCTTAGTTCACAGTTTGTTTTCCAAGAAAAGATTCAAATTACTGCTCAGGTTTTGGAATTTACTGCAACTGTCAGTGTAAAATAAAATAGGGGGCTAGAGAGATGACTCAGCACTGAATGCTCTTACAGAAGACCCAGGTTCAAGTCCTAGCACCCACATGGCAGCTAACAAACATCTGTAATTCCAGTTCCAGGGGATCCAATGCCTTCTGACCTCGTGGGCATTGCATGATATGGGTGCACTTACACACATGCAGGCAATACATTCCTACATAAAAATAAAAATAACAAATAAAAGCCAGGTGTGGTGGCACATGGGAGGCAGAGGCAGGTGGATCTCTGAGTTCAAGGCCAGCCTGGTTTACATAGTGAGTTCCAGGCCAGCTGGGGCTACAGGGAAAGTCTGTCTCAAAAAGACCAAAAACAAACAAATAAAAATATTTTTAAAAATAAAAAATAGGGGCTGGAGAGATGGTTTAGCAGTTAAGAGCACTGACTGCTCTTGCAGAGGACCTGGGTTCGATTTCCAGCACCCACATGGTGGTTAATAACCATCTGTAGCGTCAGTTCCAGGGGATCTGACACCTTTTTCTAACCTCCATAGGCCCTACATGACACAGGTGCACTTATATACATGCAGGCAATACACTCATACACATAAAATAATAAAAATGTATGCGAGTGCACCCGTGTCGTGCAATGCCACAGAGGTTAGAAGAGAGCTTTGGAATCCCTGGGAACTGGAGTTAAGGATGGTTCATAGCCACTGTGTGGGTACTGGGAATTGAACCTGGGTCCTCTGCAAGAGCAGTCAGTGCTCTTAACAGTTGAGCCATCTCTCCAGTCCCCTTAAAAAATAGTTTAAGCTGGGCATGGTGGCGCATGCCTTTAATCCCAGCACTTGGGAGGCAGAGGCAGGTGGATCTCTGTGAGTTCAAGGCCAGCCTGGTCTACATAGTGAGTTCCAGGCCAGCTGGGGCTACAGGGAGACCCTTTCTAAAAAAGACCAAAAAAAAAAAAAAAAAAAAGTTTAAAAAATAAAATAAACAAAAGGAAAGGCATGGGGGCTGAAGAGACTGCTCAGCAGTTAGCACCCACATGGCAGCTAAGAATCTTCTGTAAACTCCAGTTCCGGGAAAGGGGGGTCTGGCGCCCTCTTCTGGCCTCCTTAGGCACTGCACTAATGTGCATACACCCATACAGAGAGACACACATAATTAAAAATTTAGAAAGCTAAAAGAGAAAAAAAGAAAAAAAAAAAGAGGAGGAACTGGGAAGCTAGAGACAAGCACCCTACATTTGTCACTTTGATTTTTTAAATTTATTTTATTTAACTTGGAAAATGAGTACAAATCCCTGGGTATTTTTCTTGGTTGGGGGCAAATGGAAGATGGCCAGGAAGAAAAGGAAGAGATGGGGCAACATACAAGCATCACAGTAGTTGCTTCAGGTCCCTGCCTGAGAAGGAGAGAGTGAGCTCAGGTCCGTAGGAAAACCATGGTGAGGAGACCTGCGGGGGGAGGGAGGCAGAGAGAGAAACAGAGACAGAGACAGGGAGAAGGGGAAGGAGAGAGGGGGAGAAAGAGAAAGAGGAGGAAGGAGAGAGAGGGAAGGAGAGAGAGGAAGAGACAGAGAAGGAGAGAGGAGAGGGAGGGAGGGAGGGAAGAAGGGAAAGAGAGAGAGGGAAAGGGAGGGAAGGAGAGAGAGGGAGGGAGAGACAGAGAGAGAGAGGAGAGAGGGTGAGGGAGGAAGAGAGACAGGGACGGAGAAGGAGAGGGAGGGAGGAGGACAGGAGTCAGTATAGGAGCCCCCTCTCCTGTCCTCCTCCAGAAGTGGGCCTTGATAGGCCACTGCCATGCTCACCTAAGACGTAAGCAGCCACTAGCTTCTGTCCCAGGGACACATGCAGGACTTGAGGCAGCTGGCTGCCCAGGTCATCCTGCAGTGGCAGAAGCAGGAAGGCCACAGAGACAATGCCCGCAAGCAAGAAGAGGAAGAAGGAGCTGGTGGCCAGCTGCTGGGGGGCATCTGTGGAACAAGGGACAAGCACTGGTGATCCAAGGTCCCCTGGGAAGCAGGCTAAACATGCAAGATGCAGATACATTTTTGTTTGTGGGGTTTTTTTGTTTGTTGTTTGTTTTGAGACAGGGTCTCCATGTAGCCCCAGCTGGCCTGGAACTCACTATGTAGACCAGGCTGGCCTTGAACTCACAGAGATCCACCTGCCTCTGCCTCCCAAGTGCTGGGACTACAGGTGTGCACCACCACGCCTGGGAATTTTTTTTTTTTTTTATGTGTATGAGTGTATTGCCAGCATGCATGTAAATGTAGCATGTGCATGCAATGCCTATGGAGGCCAAAAGAGGGCATCAGATCCCCTGAAACTGAAGTTAAAGAATGGTGCTAGGAACTGAACCTGGGTCCTCTGCAAGAGCAGTCAGTGCTCTTAATCACTGGGCCATCTCTCCAGTGCCCCTTTTTTCTTTTGTTGAGACAGGGTCTCACTATGTAAACCCTGCCGGCCTGTAACTCACTATGTAAACCAGGCTGGAACTAATAGAGACCCATGTGTATCTGCTTTCCAAGTACTGGGATCCAAGGCATGCATCCTCTTTTCCCAGGAGCCTCTCTCTTGAAGCCATAGGAAATCCTCTTTCTTCTGGTTCCCTTCTTCCCTCAGTACAGGCTTCTTATTAAACTAAACATAGCTGGCACCTGATAAGAACCTCTGCACTTAGAGCTAAGGAAGAACTTTTGTCCAGTCTTTGGTGAGGGGTGAGGGGATGGAGATAGGTGGATGCCTGATGTGTCACCAGTCCTCAGATCCTTAGCTCACTGGCAATCCTGCCTAGCCAAATTAATGTGCTTAGGTTCAGTGAGAAACCCTGTCTCAAGAAAATAAAGGTACTGGCTGGAGAGATAGCTCAGCAGTTGTAAACACTTGCTGCTCTTGCAGAGGACCCAGGTTTGGTTCCCAGCACCCACTTGGCTGTACACAACCATCTGTGATTCCAGTTCCAGGAACTTTTACACTGTCTTCTGATCTCTGTGGGCACTGCATGCCCATGGTGCACACACATACATACAGGCAAAACACTAATACAAATAATAAAATAAAATAAAATAAACGTGGAGAACAATCAAAGAAAAACCCAATGTTGACTTCTGGCCTCCAAAAGCATACATACGCATGCACATGTGCACACATACACAAAGAATCTGTTCAACTCACTCTCCTGGAGATGTCTGGCTGGGGATGGTGCTGTCCAGACAGGAGGTGCTGGGCTGGGTGTTGGCTCTGGCTGCCCCTGAATCTCAAGGGGGCGCGCTGGGGCCCTCAGAACAGAAGTGATGTCTTTACGTCCCACCACTCGACCCTCCACTCCTTCTTCAGACAGCTCAATGCGGAATCGGTCCTGGACATCATAGTGGCTGGGGATGGGGGCCACATGTCGAATCACACTGGCCCATTGGGAGGAAGTGTATAAGAGGCAGCCCTCAAGAGAAATCCAGGTTTTCTCCCCAGAAATCTTTCCCAGAGGGACACAGAGAGGGTAACAGACCAAAGGTAACAAGTGGCAGAGATGCCTACCTCCCCACCCTCCCCACTCACATGTCAATGCAAGACTGAGGCTTCACAAATCCTTCTGCATCAAACACTGTGTATTTGGCAGGTGCTGTACACAGGACTGTGGGATAAAACACACAGAAAGGGGGCTGGAGAGATGGCTCAGCAGTAAAGAACGCTGGTTGCTCTTATAGAGGACCTGGGTTAGGTTTCCAGCACCCACATGGTGGCTAAAAACCATCTGTAACTCCAGTTCCAGGGGATCCGACACCCTCTTCTGGTCTCAGTAGGTATTGTGTGCATGAGTACACTTACATACATGCAGGCATACTTACATACATACGCTTACATACAAGCAGGCATACTTACATGCATACAGTTCCCTCTGTCTTCCACCCCCGAGATGGACATGACTGTTCCAGACTCAAGACTGGACAACTTGCCTCTTCTCTAACTCCTCCAGAGCACATGACCCCATGCAATGCTGCACCACCAGCCCCCAGAGCCCTGGCACGAAGCTCCCACCCCTTCACCTCGGAAGCGAAGTGCAGTTCCAGTGGGGTTGTAGAGGGTCAGCAACTGCCGGGGTCCACTCCTTTGGTCCGCCCTGAATACTAGATCCGGGGGAAAGACAAGCACCGGGACAACGGGTCCTGAGGGAGGAGGGGCTCCCCGGGACCCCCGCCCAGGGGCCCCCGGACCCACCAGCTCCTGGTCCTGGGGCGCCCCACGGCGCATGCAGGCTCTGGACGGTTGGACATCCGAGGGCAGAGCTCAGGAGGACTAGAGAGTCTTGGGAGTCTAAGGCTGGTGGGTGCGAGGTACGGAAGAGGGCCAGATAAGATCGTGAGTACAGCGTGGACTCAGAACCCCTCCAGATGTGGATCCTGCAGCCCCAGGCCCGGGTTCATAAACCCTTTCCCTTTCCAGCTGGGCCCCAGGTCCCTGCCGCCGGCCCCCAAGCCTCACCTCGATGGCCACGCCCATCTCGCTAAAATCCCGCCCACTTCTTTGCGTCCCAATCCGGGTCTCCAGGTCTGGGGTGGGTTGCGTGGGCCTCTATAAGCCCCGCCCTCCCATGCCCCGCCCCTTCCTGGAAGCCCGCCCCCAGCTCTGCCAGGCTCCGCCCCCTTGTGCCTCCGTATCTGCCGGCACCTGCTTGTGTCCCCGACTCTGTCCCTTAAGCTTGGTCTGTATCCGTCCCGCTTCGTGTGGCCATGATCACCTTCTGGTCAAAGAACCTTCCGGCAAACTTGTGGCCAGGCCAAGGCCGCCATCTTCCCGAGAGTTCCTGACTGCACTTCCGCCGTACGACTTCTCTCATTGGTCGAGGCGGCCTCGCTTCCGCCGAGACTTTCGCTGATTGGTGCGCTTCGAGACCAAGCACACGCCTCCCTGCTGGCGCCAGTGATTGGCGGAGGCTTTTACGCGTCACAGGCTTTGTTTCTGTTTATCTGCTCCAGAATCAACTAGATTGTTTATTCAGGTTCAGTTAGAGGCTCTCCTTCCCACGGGGGTGTGGGGAAGCACGAGTGCGCAGAGCCGGAAGGTTTGTAGCCCGTTAATCCCAGCCGAGGCCGGGTCTCGGAATTAGAGGCCTGCCTGGTCTACATAACAAGTTCCAGGCCAGCCAGGGGCTACAATAGTGAAACCTTGTAAAAAAATAAAACCCCAGCACTGGGGAGGCAGAGGCAGGCTGGTCTCTGTGAGTTCAAGGCCAGCCTGGTCTACATAGTGAGTTCCAGGACAGCTGGGGTTACAGGGAGACCGTGCCTCAAAAAGACCGAAAATAAAAAATAAAATTAAAACCCCCCCAAATTAAAAAAAAAAACAGTTTAATACCAACCCTCAGGAGGCAGAGGCAGGCAGAAATCTGAATTAGAGGCCAGCCTGATCTACATAGCAAACCCTAGGCCAGCCAGGGCAACATAGTGAAACCGTATTTCAAACCAACAAACAAAACCAAAATCCCCAGAGAGCCATAGTTTTAACATAGTTTAAACAAAAACCATAATTTAATCCCAGCATTCGGGAGGCAGAGGCAGGTGGATCTTTGTGAGTTTGAAGTCAGCCTGGTCTACTAAGGGCATACTAAACTAGCCAGGGCTGTATAGTGTGACATCTTGTCTCAAAAACAAACAAAAAAATGCTGTGTGTGGTACAGGCGTTTAATCCCAACACTTGGGAAGTGAAACTCTTGAGTTTAAGGCAGCCTGGTTTGCATGGGCAGTTCCAGGCCAGGGATAGGCAGTGAGACCCAGTCTCGAAGAAAAAAAAAAAGAGAGAGAAAGATTCATACCAGTAATCATGCACTTAAAAAATAAATCAGAGGGAGACCTCAGTAGGTAAAGGTGCTTGCCGCAAATCCTGGTGATCTGAGTTTGAGCCCCACAGCCCCCATGGTGGGAGGAGACTCCAGAAGTTGTTCTCTGACTTGCTAGATGGGAACATACATAAGTATACACACACACGCACACGCGCACACACACACACACACACACACACAGTGTAAGTAAATAAAAATTAAATAAAATGGGCTTAAGAAGCCAAGCCCCTCTCTAAGGATCTGTAGGCAACTAGTCTTCTGGGAAAGGGACAGACGTTTTCTTCAGTAGTCTAGCCACCAGTACGTCGCCTGTGCTCCTGTAACCCTCAGCCATGATGCTGCCAGCAATCCTAATGAAACGATTCGATCACACAGACACAGACAGAAAATGAATGGGGAAGGGGGACTAGCTGGGAAGAGGATCAGCAGGAATCAGGAGGACAAGAGGGGATAATGGGAATATGAGCAAGACACATACGCATGTATGCAAATGTCATAGATGAAACCCATTATTGTTCTCTTTTGTTTCTGTGAAACCCATTATCTGTAATTAATATTTTTTTTTGAGACAGGGTCTTTCACTGACTGGTCTGGAACTCACTATGTGGACCAGGCTGGTCTCAAACTCATATTCACCAGCTTCTGCCTTCAGAGTTCTGGGATTAAAGGAGTATGACATGGTGCCCAGAAAGTATGATCTTTTTTGTTTGTTTTTTTGAGACAGGATCTCTCTGTAGCCCCAGCTGGCCTGGAACTCACTAGGTAGACCAGTCTGGCCTCAAACTCACAGAGATCTGCCTGCCTCTGCCTCCCAAGTGCCAAGATTAAAGGCATGCACCATCACACCTGGCCCACAAATATAATTTTTTAAAAAAGAAATAACCAAAAGCAGCCAGGTGCATGTATATACAGCACTAGAGGCAGAGGCAAGAGAACTGAGGCACATTTGAGGCCAGCCTGATCTGTGACGAAGGTCCAGGCCAGCCAGGACTGTACAGTGAGACTTTTACTCAAAAAAAAAAAAAAAAAATTGGGCCAACAAGATGGCTCAGTGCATAAAGGTATTTACAGTGAACCTAAAGACCTGAGCTGGATCTCATGTGGTGGAAGGAGAGAACTGACTCTAACAAGATGTACACCCACATATATAGACTACAAAGTAAATAAAGATAAATGTGAAAAAAAGTATGCCAAGTCAGTTCACTGAATTTTCAACTGTTTTACACATTAAAACAAACAAGAAAAAAGCCCAGCCTCATAACAAGGTGAAGAATCTTCCCCTAGGCCACATAATTACTTAGTAATGGAGGAAACACTAAGTTGTTCTGGGCTGATAAGACGACTCAGCCAGATAAGGGTGCTTGCCACCAAGCCTGGTGTTTAGTTTTTGTCAACTTGACACAAACCTAGACATACTTGGGAGAGGGAATCTCAACTGAAAAATTTATTCCATCAGATTGACCTGTGGGCATATCTATGGGGGACATTTTCTTGATTACTAAGTTATGTAGGGGAGACTAGTCCACTGTGGGCAGTGCCATCCCTAGGCGGATGGGCCTGGGCTGTATAAGAAAGGTAGCTGGAGCCGGGCGTGGTGGCGCACACCTTTAGTCCCAGCACTTGGGAGGCAGAGGCAGGCAGATCTCTGTGACTTCAAGGCCAGCCTGGCCTACATAGTGAGTTCCAGGACAGCTGGGCCTACAGGGAGACCCTGTCTCAAAAAGACAGAAAAAAAAAAAAGGTAGCTGAGAGTGCTGGAGAGCTTTAGTGTCAGCTTGACTCACCTGGGTTGAGGGAGCCTCAATTGGGGAATTGCCTTCATTGGACTGGCCTGTGGCCATGTCTGTGAGGCATTTTCTTGATTGTTGAGTGATGTGGGAGGGCCCAGCCCACTGTGGGTGGTGCCACCCCTGGGCAGGTGGGCCTGTGTTGGATAAGAAAGCAGGCTGAGCAGGGGCCAGGGGAGCAAGCCAGTAAGCAGCGTTCCTCCATGGCCTGTGCTCCAGCTCCTGCCTTCAGGTCCCTGCCCTGAGTTCCTACCTTGGGCTCCCTGATGAACTGCAGCCTGGGAGATGTAAGCTGAATAAACCCTTTCCTCCCCAAGTTGGTATTGGTCAGAGTATTTTGTCACAGCAATGAAGAACAAACTAGGACACTGAGCAAGCCAGGGAGAGCAAGCCAGTAAGCAGCATTCCTCCATGGTCTCTGCCTCAGTTCCTGTTTCCAGGTTCCTGCCTTGGCTTCCCTCAGTGAAGGACTGTGAGCTGTAAGCCAAATAAACCCTTTCCTCTCCAAGTTGCTTTAGGTATGGTGTTTTATCAGTTTATCACAGCAACAGAAACCAAATCAGAACACACACAATAAATAAAAGTTTTTTAAAAATTAAAAAATTAAATTGTTCTTACAGGAAAGCGTTTCCTAAAATGAATTATTTTCCTTTTTTCTTCTGATGCTTTAAAAATTATTTTGTAATACTGAGGCTTGAACCCAGAATCTTTTTTAAAATTAATTTCTTTTTATTTTATATGTATGAGTGTATTGCCTGCATGTAAGTGCATCTGAGGAGGCCTGAAGAGGGTATTGGATTCCCTAGAACTGGAGTTAGGGATGGTTACTAACTGCCATATGAGTGCTGGGAATTGAACAGCCTCTGGAAGAGCAGCCATGCTCTCAACCACTGAGCCATCTCTCCAGCTCTTGAACCAGGATCTTATGCTTGTTATCCAAGTGCTCTACCACTGAGCTACATCCCTAGTCCTAAAAAACGGTCAACCTGGGTTGATTCCCAGCACCAACATGGCAGCTAAAAACCGTCTGTACCTCCAGTTCCAGGGGATCTGACCCCCTGTTCTGGCCTCCATGGACATTGAATTCATGTGGTACACATACATATATGTAGGCAAAACAGTCATATACAGGAAATAAATAATTTTAAATTAAAAAAATATTGTATTATTTTTATTTATTTATTTATTTTGGTCTTTTTGAGACAGGGTCTCCCTGTAGCCCCAGCTGTTCTGGAACTCACTATGTAGACCAGGCTGGCCTTGAACTCACAGAGATCCGCCTGCCTCTGCCTTCCAAGTGCTGGGATTAAAGGCATGCGCCACCACACCCAGCTATTTTTATGTGTATGACTGTATTGTCTACATGTAGGTAAGTGCACCTGTGTTGTGCAGTGCCCACAGAGGATGGAAGAGGCCATCGGATCCCCTGGGACTGGAGTTACGGACAGTTGTTAGCTGCCATGTGGGTGCTGGGATTCAAACCTGGGTCTTCTGCAAGAACAGCCAGCGTTCTTAACCACTGAGCCATCTCTCCAACCCCGATAATTAAAAATTTTTATAATGAGGCAAGGTTTAAGTTCTGACCTCCATGGGCATTGGATTCATGTGGTGCACATACATGTATGCAGGCAAAACAGTCATAAACAAGAAATAAGTGTTAGGGTTCCAAATAGCAGCAGTTTCCCCCCTCCCCAACAGGGACCTCACCTTGACCTTTGGAGTCAAGAAAACAAACTCTGCTGAGAAGCAGCCTGCCTCTCCTCTGATCTCCAAAGATAAGATAAGCAGATTCTACCTGTTAACCAGAGATTTTAGAAGCTGTTTATCACAACAAGCTTTTCTCTTATCTTAAGAAAGAAAAAGTAAACACTTCCAGACCCTAATCCCACCTGGCAGACTAAACTGAGCCAGGCTTTTCCTGCTTCCCACTCCCTGATTTCTCCCCCAAACATTGCCCCCTTCCACACCCTAAAGCTCCCATATATAAAGTCCCAGCTCACAACCTGTGGGTGGACATCTTTCCCTTCCCTGTCATCTTTCCCTTCCCTTCCCTTCCCTTCCCTTCCCTGACATCTTTCCCTTCCCTGCCCTTCCCTGCCCTTCCCTGACATCTTTCCCTTCCCCAAGGGAAAGGTGCCCCCTTCGAAATAAATCTGTATCCCTCTGAGAATTCCATCTGTGCCTCGGTGCCTCTCCACCACCCGCTCGCTCCCGCCCGCTCTCTACCTATCAATAAGTAATTTAAAATTTCCTTCCCTTCCCTTCCCTGACATCTTTCCCTTCCCTGCCCTTCCCTGCCCTTCCCTGACATCTTTCCCTTCCCCAAGGGAAAGGTGCCCCCTTCGAAATAAATCTGTATCCCTCTGAGAATTCCATCTGTGCCTCGGTGCCTCTCCACCACCCGCTCGCTCCCGCCCGCTCTCTACCTATCAATAAGTAATTTAAAATTTTTATAATGAGGGAAGGTTTAAGTTGCCCAGGCTGGTCTTGAACTTGCAATCATGTTTCAGCCTCTGGAATAACTAGTGCCATAGGCACCTTACAGTCACACTCTGTTCTTGCTTGCTTTGTAGCACATATCTCACTATTTGACGTATTTTGTTCATGTCTCTTCCAGGAGTATGTTCCCTCCTCCTTTCCATAGGCAGGGACATTTGTTTTGTTTTCTGGTGTATTTTCATTATGTAAAACATCAACCACCATTTGGCAAAAACAAAGTAATGATCTGAATGAACTTTGAGCAGAGATCTGAGTAGACTTAGGAAGGGAGCCATGATGTATCAATGGAAATGACTTACAGATAGAGGAAACAGCAAAATCCTGAAGCAGAGCTGTACTAGAAATGGGGGTGGGGGTGGGGAGGACGCAGTCCAACTCAGTAGGTGAAGTGCCTGCCCTTGCATGAAAAAGGACCTGAGTTTAATCCTCAGAACCCAAGTAAAAATGCAAACTTGTAATTGCAGTGCTAGGTGGGTGGAGACAGGAGAACTCCTTGGGCTCACTAGCAAACCCAAGCTGGCCAAGCTAGTGCACTTACCTACATTGTCCTGAGCTCCAGGCCAATGAGAGAGCCTGCCTCAAAAGAGGGGGGAGGGGGCTGGAGAAATGGCTCAGCAGTTAAGAGCACTGCCTGCTCTTCCAGAGGACCTGAGTTTAGTTCCCAGCACCCACATTGGGGGTGCAATATCACATGAAAACACAGACATGGTGGTACATGCCTTTAATACCAGCACTCAGGAGGCTGAGGCAGATGGATCTCTGTGAAACTGAGGCCAGGTTGGTCTACATACTGAGTTCCAGGCCAGCTGGGGCTACAGGGAGATCTGTCTCAAGAGAAAACAACAACAACCAAAAAGCAACCCTAGCAACCTGTAATTATAGCTCCAAATGATCTGATGCCCTCTTCAGACCTCCATGGGCACTTTACACAGGTGGTATATACATGTACATAAACATAATAAAAAATATTAAAATCTTAAAAAATAAGAAGTGGATGGCGTTCCTGAGGATAACTTCCAAGGTTTTCCTTTGGCCTTTATACACATGTTCACACATGTGCACACACATCCTCATGTATGTGCACCTCTACACACATGAACATGCATACACACAAAGAATAAAAGAGATGGGCAAGGAGAGCAACAGTGTGGTGGAAGTTACCTTTCTTCCCAGGTAAGGCAGGATGATTATAAATTCAAGGCCAGCCTGGGCTACAGAGTGAGTTGGAAGCCAGACTGGGTCATATAGTGAGTGAGACTGTCTCAAACACTATTAATGATAAAAGAGAAATGAGCAGGGAACAGTGAGGCACCAGAAACAGTAAGTGGTGAGGAGGGCTGCAGTGTAGTGAGAGTGTAGATCCACACTAGGGCTAGAGTCCACCCTGAGAAGCATCCAGAATTTTAAATGCCATGTATTTTATGTATGTGCGCGTATGTGTTATGTGAAAGTGTGTCTGCTGCGGTACAGGTGTGGAGACAGGAAAATTTGCAGGAGTAGGTTCTGTCTTCCTAAATCTTGTGGGTCTCAGGAACTGAACCCAGGTCCTCAGGCTTGGTGGCGAGTGCCTCTACCTGCTGAGCCATCTTTTTTGTTTGTTTTTGAGACAGAGACTCACAGAGTATAGCTCTGACTGGCCTGGAACCAGCAGAGATCCACCTGCCTCTGCTTCTGGAGTGCTGGGATTAAAGGCGTGTACTACCACACTTAGCCTTAATTTATAGTCTTAAAAGAGTATTCTGGGGGCTGGAGAGATGACTCAGTGGTTAAGAACACTGACTGTTCTTGCAGAAGACCAGGGTTTGAATCCCAGCACCCACATGGCAGCTAACAACTATCCCGTAACTCCAGCTCCAGGGAATCTGACAGCCTCTTCTGTCCTTCTTGAGCATTGCATGACACAGGTGCACTTACGTACATGCAGACATAACACATATATACATGAAATAAAAATAATAAAATATCAGCCGGGTGTGGTGGCACACGCCTTTAATCCCAGCACTTGGGAGGCAGAGGCAGGTGGATCTCTGTGAGTTCAAGGCCAGCCTGGTCTAC